TTTTCTAAAAGGTAATTTCTCTTTGAAGAACCGTGTTTTATACTTTTACTAATTATCTTTAAATAAGTAAATATTAAAAAGTATTTAATCATTCATAAGATATTTTACTTGTCTGTGTTGAACATTTAATGAACGATGATGCTCCTACTAACAATACATTACTCTACATATTCATTCTCTAGTGATGTGCACTTCTCTCCTCCCTTTTCCAATATTATTATCCGTGCATAATGAACGTCACAGAATTTCTGGATGGTTAAACACGACCGAATTCGCTATATATATAAAAGTTTAACTTCCTAATATGCCGGAGACTCGTTGACTATGCAAACAAAAATTCTTAGAAAAATCTCATATTCTGATTTTTAAAAATCCATTTTTAAGAAGGGGAAAAAATCGATATGTATGCATTCATAAACAACGTCCTTCCTTTTAAAATTGCTTTAATTTAGTAAACATTTTCTTAACGTCTCTCTCTCTCTCTCTTTCTTCTCTTCTCTTGCTCTTGCTCTTCTTTGCTCTGTCTCATCCTTACGTTGCAAGTATTGAGTTTGTTTTTATAGTTCACTAAATATTTTAATTTTTTCTCATTTTATTATTCGAATTTGCTAAATTTAAGAGATGATTAGGAATTTAAAGATCATCAGCTTTCGTGTAGATATCTTTATTATTATAGAGCAACTAACGAGCACGATTTGCTTGCCTTTCACATAGTCACATAAAAGATAAGTGGCTGGAGGCTAAATGGCTTTTAACAGAGAAAATTTAAATATGAATCTGTATTACTGAATCGATAAAAAAATATAATTAAAAAATAAAAATTCAAGTTTAACTCGATTAAATTTTTTAATTTATTTTTTTCTCCCGACATCATACGCGAGTCTCGTTAAAGAAAAAAATAATAATAATTTTATTTTAATGTTTTTTTGCTTTATATAAATATAATCAAAATTTATGTACCATTAATTTTATTGGTGTGAATCTAAAACTGTCGAAAAATACTTGAAATAAATTTAAATTAAACGTATACAACATATGTTAACTAAGGATAAATAAAAATTAATTTACAGAAGATATTTATCGTTTGACAAGTTTAAATAAATTAATTTCGAATAAATTTTAGATTTTTTGGTGATTTTTTATATTTTTGTCACTACAGGAGCATTGATCAATGTCGAAATTTAAATGAGATTTTTGAAAATTTATAAAAAAAAATCAATTAAAGTGAAGCCATTCGGAATTTATTAGCAAACCTTGAAGAGAAGAAGAAGAAGAAGAAGAAGAAGAAGGAATATATTTATATATAATAAATTTCAAACGATAAAATAAAATATAAAATAAAATAAAACAATATATTTCTGATGAATATTTCATGCCAATGAATTTTTCATGTGGAGAACACAATACGCAACATACTTTACTATATATTGATACAAACAACTTATTGATGAAACAAAAAGTCATAAAAATCGCTGATGTTGATTCTGCTGATGGTAGTATTATTGGAAAATCTAAAAAAAACGACATGTGCTAAGGAAACAGCATAGAAAACGACAGAGGACAAGCTAAATAAAGTTAAAAATACATCCCTAAAAGCTTCCTCAAAGTGAAGAGAAATGGCACTTTCACAAAAAAATCGAGAAAAATTTGAATAAAAATATAAAAATCATTAAGAAACATTGAATTTTCTTTAATCTGTTTATGTATAAATAGTTATTAGAAGTAGCATTTCCGTCTGTAGTACACTCGGAAATTGCACTGCTCTTCCGTAATTCTTAATGGATGCTTTGAAGATGGGGAGGAGGAAATTCTCTTAAAATGCTAGCAAACCTCGTGAGAGAAGCTATCCTTGGAAATTTATATAATGTAATCTACTTGTAAATGGTTCTGATAAGTGGGATTTAGCTTGGTCTCTCTAGAGTTTCACCAACTGTAACTGTGAGTTACTATTGAAGATGGAACTAAAATTTATTAGATGGCTCTTGAGTGGAGTCTCGCTTTCTGGCTATTTTTTATTGCTTAAGTAATTAGTTTTCGTGCTTTTTTCACTTAAAAATATTACTTTATAGTTATGGTAATTAGGGTTTAACTGAAAGTCATGAAAACGTAGCAACTATGAGTTACTATTGGGCTTAAAAGCTAAAGTTAGTCGGAAAATCCTTCGAAAAATTCAACTTTTTTCATTTTTATTGCTACTTAAATAGACTTATTTGCTTAAAATTGTACATATTTTTGATTCATGAGTTTCCTGTCTCCACGACCCATAGCAGTGATAATGATCCTGCAATTCTCGAATTAATATTGAGCTTACAAACATAAGCTATAAGGAGAATCTTAGAAAAGTGATGCATTCTAAATTCTTGAGTAGTTTCTTCTAATCTTCCAAGCTAATATCTGGATCCATTTAGTTAATTTTTGGATAAATTGTTAAATTTTCTTGAATACTCTTAGGAAAGAGATCATATTTTTCATTAGAATAATTGATTCTAGCATTTTTAAGAAAGTACAAAACAAATAAACCAAGTGGGATGCTGATTAATCTCCAGCATCTTACATCTACAATGCTAGTTACTAATGAGAATAAGGATAATTTAGGAAAAAATATTTTTCTACGACATACATAACGCTAAAAATTTTACTTAAACATCACTTTTACTGTCAAAAATTAGATAAGTCTCAAGGTTACTATAAATTATCTTATGTGGGTCTCTACAGAATCTAAGCAATTCTGTTGCTTGAAGCAGATATTAATGATTAAAACACTCAATAAATCTTTAACTTTTATAAGTTATTTAATGCTTAAATATATAGCTAACAACCTCGTATAGACTTTGGAACGTGATGAAAGAATAAGAGAAAAATAGAAAAGATTTTACAATGAGATAGAAGATCCGGTTCTTCCAAAGATAAAAAAGAATTTTTTATATCAACTTATAAATCAAAAATAAAATTCTTTCAGAAAAAAAAAACGAAAACACGAACAACGTCTGTAGATAAGTTTAAAAATTCGAATTCTAAATGGAAAATTAAAAATAAAAATTAAAAAAAGAGGAAATTTAACGACCAACGAAACCGAATAAAATGGATTTAATTAAAATCTTGTTCTCTTTCCAACTTCATTAAAGTGGATCCTAGAAATCCTAGTCGATTTAATTACACAAGTGTTGTCAACCTAATTAGAAACACGAAAAAGAAGAAGAGGAAACTTAAAAAAAATGTAATTTTCGATATATTTATTTTTTTTTAGGATTAAGTTTACTTTTTTCCTTTTTATATCTGTACTATTTGTACAAAACTCAATTGGTTTTGTCACACGGCCTTACAAACACATTACTTTATTTTTATAACATCAATTTTGACATTTGTATTTTTGTGTGAATTTTCTTATTCCGAACATCCCGAATTTCTAAAGATAAACTGGAAAAAAGAGTCATAGATGAGGAGTTTCTATATATTTTTCCTCTTCTCTTCCTACTCCTCCTCCTCCTCCTCCTCCTCTTCTTCTGTCCTGTTCTATCAAATTCTCTTCCTCTTGGGCGTCTTTCCGTCTGTACGTTTGTCTGGATATTTTTACTTTTCTCCCCCTTTTTATCATTATTATTCTTTATTCGATTTAGAAACATTAGAGAGATGGTTGAGTAAAATCGTATCGTTTGAAGAATTTTATCATCTCAAACGATTATTTAATATTTTTTTAAGCTTAAAGATATAACAAAATTGGCTATATTCATAATCATAAAAACATCTGACAAGCTCAGGAAGAGATATAAAATATTTATTACGTGAACTATATATAAAATGTAATTTTATTTAAATTTTTTACAAAAATCGTGTTTTTAGTTCTAATTTAAATAATATTTGAAAGTTTTTAAGTAAATTACTTGTAGAAGAGTGGGGTAAATTATTTATAATTTAATCATTAATTTATTAAATTTAGATGCATAAAAATATGGCCCCGAATTAAGGATGCACGTTTAATTCACTTTAAAATGAAGGTTTTCTTTAAAAAATATATTTTTAAAAATGTATAAAAAATTCTTTTGTATAGTTTGTGACTTAAAAAGATATATTTTAAACATTTTATCATAAAAATTGAGTCTAATTTTTTGAAATTTCTTATTCATCTTATCCAATTTTTTCGTTTATTTTTCTAAATATAGAGTTAAAGCATTATATAATATTTTTCTTAACAATATTTTCTTGTTTTTTATCTATCCATCTATATATATATAGATCTCACCGGCATCAAATAACAAAGCAGTCTTGGGTTGTCACAAGCAGATGGCTGAAACTAGATACAGTCCAAGTGCATCGTCTCTGCATCAGTTAACTGATCAGTCGACCTAGCTGTTGACAAAAATCTCCGTAAAGAAGAGGGATTCCTCAAATGGATTAATTCTGATTATAAAAATAAATATTTCTCTTGCATAAAAATTAATTTAATGTAATTAAAAAAGAGATAATTGCAATTAAAGGATGAAGATTCCAAAATTTATCGCAAATTATTAATGGATTTTTGAGTGTGTAATTAACTCAAAATTTTTATATTTTGAGGAGATTTTTTAAATGATTTTTGTGTGTAAATTTTAATTTTTTTTAATGGTTTTAATCCTTCTTTTAATTTTGAATTCATCATTTTCTGTTTTTTTTTTTAATTCTGTCATTTACCGTAATGCATTCTGTGATTGGTTATTTTGGTCTGTCTACAGATCTACTCTTATTAACTGTGCTGGAGTAATATTACCCATGTCCGTCGTTATCTCATTTTTCATCCTAACACATCACAGCTACTACTATGCATCATTTTCTTCTTCTCTTTTATCAATTCCCCCTTTCCATCCTCTCTCTCCTCTCTCTCTCTCCCCCTTCCGTTCTTTCTGCTACAAGTTTTACTTTCTAACCTTTTCATTTACCACATAAATTATATATTAATTTAACTAAAATAATATATAATAGCACGAGTTTATGGTACTCAAAATCATTGGTTACGTCGAACGTACCGCACGGTCCTTGGTGTCTGACGAATATCCTCTTCTGCTGCGTGCAGGAGGCGGTACGTAGCTGACATTCACTGGAGTATGTGACGTCATCGGTACCACAAACAGGAGCAAACACATCGGAACATGTGTCCTGGCAACGGCAGTACGCTTGTTGTGTCCTTTCGTCTAACAAACATTGAGCTCCATAAGCGCAGTACATAGACTCGCACGTATCTGGAAATAATCATTAAAGAACAGTAATTAATAAAAATAAAACGAAGTAATTACGGAATTCAAACAGTATCCATTCAATATTAATAAATAAAACATGTCTTCCTTAATTAATTTCCTTTCAAAACATCAATTCGACTTGGATAGAAAGTCTTGGTTTCTTTCAGAAATTAGAATAAAATTTCCTGTAAAATTCTAAGGTAGAATGGTGTTTCTAATTAAATAAGATAAGAAACTTTTAAATTAGATTTTAGATAATTTTGTAATTGGCCTAAAATAATTATAAATTAGTTACTACGCGTATTTAATTATTTAACTCTCACTATAATACCATTCAGTTAAATGGATTTTAATTTATGCAACCTCGCTATAACGTTTCGTAGAGGGTTTAGGGGCTTAAATTACTGTAATAAGGGGCCTCGGGGATCATAGCTTATCTTATATAAATATATATATACACTGGTAAGTTTGTAAACAACATCATTCTACTGATGATGCTGTTGGAGGAAAATGTATCTTTGACGTATCGTAACTAAAGTTTAGATGATCTGTTATAATATACAATAATTAGATCATCGTGTAAATTCCATTCTTGCATGCATTGCTCAGTTAAGGCAATAGTAATTAGAATAGTAATGTCTTAATTAGCCTTATGTAATATATACACAGAGGAATGAAGATTTACCTCATTAGAAAGATTCTTTAGAAGGAAATAATCTAAAAATGGAAAAGAAAAAAAAATAAGAAAAATTATTATTCATTATTAATTCTGCTTTATTAGAAATGCCAATTTGGATAATGAACTCCTTAAATTTAGATAATCCCTAATTTATCTTGCTTTATAATGAACGATGTGGCTGCTACAGCAAATTAAAATCTTCGAAGTTATAAAATTAAATTATTTAAAAAAAAGGGAGAAAAGAATTTATGATGTGAAAATGAAGAAATTTTCATGATATATAGTTCTATATAAATATAGGATGATAAAAGACGAATTTTTGAAGTTTTATAGCTTAATGGTTATCAAAATTGATAGCTTAAAGTATAAAATAGATGTGTAATGCACAGAATCATTAGAAGACTTACATCCTCATCAATTCTGTTTGAGGACAGTTGCTGTCTGAAGTTGTCCAGTAACAAGTTGTGCATTGGGTGTCTTCCTTAATCCCTCTTTAGTTGTGTGGTGCAGTTATGGGGGATTTTCCTTTGATTAACGAAGAATAACAGCATTTCTTACCATCTACAACCCTATCGAAACCGATCTTAATCAAAGATAAAAAAAATTAAAGATAAAAATGACTGGAATAAACATGGAAATCATTCATTAAATCAGATTAAAATCGAGAAAAATTATCATCAACTTTCTTTATTAATTAATAACTTCACTTTTGTTAGGAGACAGAAAAAAGAAGAAAATTCTCTCGATATTACAGATTTATAAATCAGATATTGTAGCTACAAGAAAAAGGTTTCTATACTCCTTCTCCTTTTGTCCCATATATATTTTTTTTTACATTATTATTTTTTTCCTTTTGCCCTCCCCTAAACAAGCTATAGACACTAAAGAAGATATAAATCGATTTAGTTCACGCTGATAACTTGTTCATTTTCTCAATAAGGAATTTGTATAAGAGATTACAGCATCCTTATCTCAGGGAGGTAAATGATCATTGCAAACTGCACAACCCAATATCGCTATAACAGGGGACCACATTCTCTGACTGCGAAAACGGACAAACCCATAAAACCTATTTTATGGACACAATATTTCACTCAGCTTTGAGAGTTTCATTTATTTATCTTTTTTTTCTTTCTTTCTTTTTCTCTTTTCTAGGTGGATATACGAATATTGACATTTCGGAAAATTGTTATACTGTTTTCTCCCTTTCTTGCTACTGCATTTCTTTTGTTCTAATGGCATTGGGATTGATAGAAGAAAATAGACATAAAAAATGTTATTTTTTTAAATAAAAAAATCTCACGTTTATGTAACATTTAAACGATTATAATTAACAATATAATAAAATATTAACATAATATTTTTAAAAATGCGCATAATTTAAACCAGAAATAGAACGCCTGTCACTACCAGGAATTCGTATACCTGTACAGTACATAACTATAAAATATTAATTTCGTGAGCTTCTACTGTTTATAAAACTATTAAAAACTTAGAAATATGCTCGTGTTTTAAGTTATGTTTACATATTTAGAGCGATATATATAAATCTTCGCTTATAATGGACATTATATATAGGCGATTCGCGTATAACGCGCATGCAAGCGTTATTAAAGACATAATTTATTTAATTCAAAAATAAAGTAAGTAAATAAATAAAACCTTTAAAAAGTTTCCTAGACGTCCTAAAATATATTTTTAATGAAAAATATTTTATTATTTTTGTAAATAATTAAGATAATTAAAAAACTTTTAGAGGAATTTTGCGGCAAAGAAAAATAATATTGCTTTACTAAAGTCAACATTTATAAAAAAANAATTCACCGTCTGGACGGCAGAGGGCATATCAGTCAAAGCATAGAAGATGCCTTGTCGCTATTGCCTGAGACAAATCTCGTAAGTTTATCACAGTCAGGATATCTGGCTGTCAGCCGCGGCTTACTACCAAAGAAATTGGAGTGCAGGCGATCTCCAAGAAAACACACTTTTCAGACTTTATTTCTTTTTAGTTTGCTAGATAGGATTTAGACTTTTGCTTCTTCTATCGAAAGAAACCCATTGGCTCTGAGTAGAAATGACTTATTCTTACTTGTTATTATTTTATATTCGATGCCACTCCTCGGAGGTTCCTTCTGTTTGGTGTGATTTGCTTTCATAATCCAGTTTGGTCCAAATGCTGTTTGGAAGAAATAAACGTGAAGGTTATTTTTATATAAGTGAATGTTTTTTCCTACATCAGAGATAAGAAATTTTTTCTTGTTGTAAAATCATCTTCCATCTCTTCCTCTTCCTCCTCTTACCTCATCCAAGTTATTCCTGCTCTAATTATTTTATTTGAAATGATGCCACCAAATTGTGAGATTAATTTTTGAGAAATTTATAAAGGATTCTTTATATTTTAAAGTTAAATTTAAGATTTTCCCTTTTCTTTTTCCGCGTAAAAGAATAAAATTTATCTATCTATAGAGTGACTTTTAACGAGAATTCTTGCAGTTTAAAATACATTATTTTGAATTGTTGCTCCGTTGTGGGATGAGTTGGAGGGAATTTTTCTGAAACTAATTATAATTTAACTCGTATATTATTAAGTTAAAATGAATTTTTACATTAAAGAAAAGACATTTTGGAGAAATTTAATAATTCTCATACAACAATTCTTTAATTAATTTAGCAGAAAACGAAGACGTTTGGAGGATAATCCCCCATAACGCGAACTTATTTGATTTACGCTAGATTTTAGTCTATAAATATATATAAACACTTAATTCTAAAAATGCTACATTTTATAAAGGAAAAATTTGGAAGTTTGAAATTTGCGAAGATCTTTTAACCTTCTTTCTTATTTAAGTATCATATAATAAATGGTACGGGTCAAGGGTCAAGAATGTAGATAAAATCCAAAAAATAATTTATCGTTTCTTCCCCTTGACATTTTCAACTTTTAAGTGAATGTTTCTTGACATTAAATATAAATTTCCTACTCTCGAAATGATTTTTTAATTGTGTTATCTTAAGAGCTACGGGTCGGAGGTCGAATTTAGGAGGAGAATTTTCTAAAGTAAATTCAGTTATACTTTATATATCACAAATATATATATTTTTTAGCTTAAAAGCAATGTTTTCAACGAAATATATATTTTTATGTGGAAAATTTATAGAGTTTTACCGTTTTCAATGCGATTCTGAAAGATCACCAAGAGCAACTTGCATGCTGTAGAAATTCTTGAGTATTGTTTAAATTTCTAGATTTTTCTAAAATATTTTGTAGATTAAATGTTATTATTGATATTCTAAATATAAAAATAATCTAGAGTATTTAAAAAATTAAGAAATTTTTATAATACACGTTAATAATTCGAGTGTTTCAAAGCTCTGAACATCCATCACAATTGAAGGATTGATGTTCAGAGCTCTCTGTAGAGAGAATTATTGGGTAAATCTCAACTAAATTTGTTATACATAATAATGTCTAGAGTATGGTTTGGATTTTCGAAAATAGAATTTACTTAGAAATTCAGCCGCTGGAGAAAACTTGGCGCTGCCGTCTGCTTTATGTTAAAGCCCTAGATATAAAAAGAACGAAACTCCTTTCCGTATCTTTTGTTGTCTATGATTGGTCGAGTGAGTGTCACGTGATAACAGGGCGCCATTTTCTTGTCAAATAATAGATAAAGATCATTGTTTATTTATAATATTTTAATAATAAATAAATTATTTTAAAAGAATTTATATTTTTATTTATCTTCTTCACCTAAATACAAGCAATATTTTAAATTTACGCCTATGATTTTTATCAAATCTTTTACATTGCATAGATGTAGAATAAATAAGAACTTGAGTGGAATGTTACGCTTTAAGTGATGTAACACATGTTACGTGAACGTAACTGAGTAATCGTAGTGGAAAATAATCGTTCTAAAGATACGTTTTTTTAGCACATATATGAACTTTTTAAAGAAATATTATTGAATTTGTAAAGTTTTAATGCATTCAATGAATTAAATTAGAATATTCGGTTATTTTAATTACAATTTCATTTAAAATCCATAATGAGTTGCGTAACTTTCCCAACATAACAGTTAAAATTGCGTAGCTCCATCTGTTATGATATTTTATTTTTAAAAAAGTTTCCTATTGTTAATTATTATAAAATAGCAAAAAGCTTCATTTTGAAGATATAGACGAGTTTTATAAAAAATTCTAAATGCTAATAACGTAAATGCCAATAAAATCTTTATCTGACTCCACCAACGCGACCCCTCTATCTCCTCAACCGCTTGACCTTTAATCACTAAAATTTAACAGCACTAGTTTCCCTAATACA